AACTTCGGTGCTCTCTTAAGTTATTGGAATAAAATGTTCCACTGTCATAACTGAAAAAAACTTATTAAATGCAATTACACCCGACTCGTATCTGTGACCCGTGAAGCGCATAAATTCTCAATATCCAAAAGACTTGAGTACATTATTAGGTTGTACCAGTATTCCTCTTACATTCAGTATATCGCTCTTCATCATCATTCCACATTCTCTAATTTTTTTGCAGACAAGCTGTGTTCTTAAAACGAAGACTGCTAGGATGTCCGGTCATCAATGAAAGTGGCTACAGGGGCTCGTTGCTAGCGACATATAGTGTTGCACATTTGCACATTTAGGCGAGGATTGATGGTTTCTGCGCTCTAGCATTATTTCTGGAAAACTGCCCTGTCGTAGCCTACAAATGAAACGTAATGTAAAGTATGAAAAGCAATTGAAAGCTTGCAGTAATTGCAACAAAGAATATGTATTTCACTGGCATTTACACACAGTTAATACTAATACTAGTATTTTGATGTTTCATTATGTTATGGTTCTTAACATGACTACTTTTTATCTTATTTAATTTTGTTTTATTTTACTTACTTTTATTTATTATTATTTTTTTATTTTCACTTCTATAACACAACACAAGAAAATCACATTATGATTTAGAAGAGTGCTAAGATTCTACAATAAGAAAGTGACTGAAGAATAAGAGGTAGGCCTATAAGGGAAGGCATATGAATCACAAAAACGTCTAACGATCTAAACAATATAAACAAGTGAAAATACATGCTCACCTGTACGATGGCCTTTTAGTACCACAACCGCAGCACTTAGGGCGAGGTTGGGGAGTAGTAGCTCCCAGTATTCTAGACCAGTGACAACGCCACGTGTGTCGCATTGGGACTGATGAAAATCTGAAATTTGGCAGAAAGGAAGTCAAAATATTTTGCGCGAGTGATTTTTTTGCAAGTTTGTGACAAATTAAAAGAGCTTTTGGATTCTAAAATGTCTGGACTAAGAATTTCCTTGAATAAATTGGAAATAGAAAACAAATGTCTACATTTAGTGACTAGATAACGGTTTCCAAAAGGTCTTATTTAAAGTTTTATGAGAAGAACAAAACTGCTATTGTTTGATACCAATAATATTTGGACTGCTCCATTTTAATCCTTTTCGTCTAAAATTAAAGACTTACTTAAAATACTTTTTCAAGGGACCCAGTGATCTGAATGAGTAGCAATGAGTACCTGTGCCATGTTGACTGAGAAGCAAGATCTTCTGTGCTGTTCCAAGGCAAACCCAGCACTATCAGGTCGCTGTACTCCTTACTGTCCAGCCGATTTGTTTTCACGTTGCGAGTTTTCAGGGTCTCATCTCCTTTTTCTTTTCTTTTGTTCTCTAAAACGGTAACACATTACAATTATTATTAAGAATGTTTATTGAATTACCAACCCTTTGTTGTATCAATATTTCTATTATTTTCTGTGTAATAAATGATTGTTACATACTAATTATTGTTTGGACAAGCAGATTTTTCAGAATGTATGAATTTAGTGTGAAGACCATACGATTTTTTCGAAGTTTTCAAAACAGCTGTTGACTTGATTTAGTTTTTAACTCTTATATCGTAATTCTAAAAATGTCAAGGTCTTTAAATTTCATATTTTAAATTTATATTCAAATGCAATCCAATCCAAATTTATTGAAATTTGTATTCGGACCAGTGAATCCTTATTTAGACAAAAAGATTTTAGGAAAGTTTAGGTCCAATGGCCAGTAAGGTGAAAAGCTTATGGTAAAGACTGCAACTGAAAATAATCATTTAAGTCTATTTCTCGCCCAAATAACGCGGGTTACCTTTAAGGGTTTTAGAACTCAGTGAAACACCATATGGCTTAGACGCTTCCCCAATGCAGCCACCTCGTAGACAGACCATGGCAGGACTCACTGGACGCTTCCTCTATGCAGCCACCTCGTAGACAGACCATGGCAGGACTCGCTGGACGCTCCCCCGATACAGCCACCTCGTAGACAGACCATGACAGGACTCGCTGGACGCTCCCCCGATGCAGCCACCTCGTATACAGACCATGGCAGGACTCGCTGGCACTAAGGATTGATGGAAGTAGCTGAAGTGTAGATGTGGCTCTCTTTTCCTTGCAGTTGTCAGTGGGAGCTCCACCGAGAATCACCATAATCGAGTTCTGTTAACAGAAAGAAATACAGATTAATGACTTTTCCTACATTTATCTGTTAACAGAAATAAAAAAATGGATTAATGACTTTTCATACATATGTCAGCACTCTGCATTCAGGTCTACCCTTAAGGGTTTATGTTTAAAATGAAAACGGATTAATGACTTTTCCTACATATGAAGATACAGTCATGCTTACCCTTAAGGGTTTTCCATCTCGGTGAAACAACAATCCTGGGACGCTTCCCCAATGGAGCCACCTCGTAGACAAACCATGGCAGGACTTGCTGGCACTAAGGGTTGATCAAAATGTAGATGTGGCCCTCTTTTCCTTGCAGTTGTCAATGGGAGCTTTATCGATAATAGCCATAATCTAGTTCTGTTAACAGAAAGAAAAAAATGGATTAATGATTTTTCCAACATATGTCTTTTAACAGAAAAAATGGATTAATGACTTTTCTACTTATGTCAGCACTCTACAGTCAGGCTTACACTTAAGGGTTTTCTGTTAACAGAAATAAAAACGGATTAATGACTTTTCCTACCTATGTTAGCACTCTGCAGTCAAGCTTACCTATATGGGTTTTCCATCTCTGTGAAACACCATATGCCTGGGATTCTTCTCCATTGCAGCCACCTCGTAGACAGACCTTGGCAGGACTCGCTGGACACTTCCCCAATGCAGCCATCTCGTAGACAGACCATGGCAGGACAGGCTGGACGCTTCCCCGTTGCAGCCACCTCATAGACAGGGCGTGGCAGGACTCACTGGCACCAAGGATTGATGGACGTCGCTGAAGTGTAGATGTGGCCCTCTTCTCCTTGCACTTGTCAGTGGGAGCTTTATTGAAACAGAAAAAAATCATTAATGACTTTTTCTACCTATGTGAACGCTCTGCAGTCAGGCTTACCTTTAAAGGTTTTCCATCTCAGGGAAACACTACATGCTGTCGACGCTTCCTCATTGCAACCATCTTGTAGACGGACCATGGCAGGACTCGCTGGACGCTTCCCCATTGCAGCCACCTCATAGACAGGACGTGGCAGGACTCGCTGGCACCAAGGGTTGATGGACGTCGCTGAAGTGTAGATGTGGGTCTCCTTTCCTTGCAGTTGTCAGTGGTCAGTGGTAGCTCTAGTGAGAATCGCCATAATCGAGTTCTGTTAACAGAAAAAAAACCGGATTAATGACTTTTCCTACATATTTCTGTTAACAGAAATAAAAAATTAATTAATGACTTTTCCTACAAATATCAGCACTCTGCATTCAGGGTTTTCTGTTTACAGGAATAAAAACGGATTAATGACTTTCTTTACCCATGTTAGTACTCTGCAGTCAGTCTTACCTCTGAGGGTTTTTCATCTCAGTGAAACACCATATGTCTGGAACGCTTCCCCATTATTGTCACCTCGTAGACAGACCATGGCAGGACTCGCTGGACACTTCCCCGATGCAGACACCTCGTAGACAGACCATGGCAGGACTGGCTGAACGCTTCCCCATTGCAAACACCTTGTAGAAAGACCATGGCAAGACTCACTAGACGCTTCCATCATGCAGCACCTCGTATACAGACAATGGCAGGACTAGCAGGCACTAAGAATTGATGGAAGTAACTGAAGTGTAGATGTGGCTCTCTTTTCCTTGCAGTTTTCAGTGGGAGCTCCACCGAGAATCGCCATAATCGAGTTCTGTTAACAGAAAGAAATACAGATTAATGACTTTTCCTACATTTATCTGTTAACAGAAATAAAAAAAATGGATTAATGACTTTTCATACATATGTCAGCAGTCTGCATTCAGGCTTACCCTTAAGGGTTTATGTTTAAAATAAAAACGGATTAATGACTTTTCCTACATATGAAGATACAGTCAGGCTTACCCTTAAGGGTTTTCCATCTCGGTGAAACAACATTATCCTTTGACGCTTCCCCAATGGAACCACCTCGTAGACAGACCATGGCAGGATTGCTGGCACTAAGGGTTGATCGAAATGTAGATGTGGCCCTCTTTTCCTTGCAGTTGTCAATGGGAGCTTTATAGATAATAGCCACAATCTAGTTCTGTTAACAGAAAGAAAAAAAACGGATTAATGATTTTTCCAACATATGTCTTTTAACAGAAAAAAAAGGATTAATGACTTTTCTACATATGTCAGCACTCTGCAGTCAGGCTAACACTTAAGGGTTTTCTGTTAACAGAAATAAAAACGGATTAATGACTTTTCCTACCTATGTTAGCACTCTGCAGTCAGGCTTACCTGGGATGCTTCCCCGTTGCAGCCACCCCATAGACAGACCAGGGCAGGACTCCCTGGACGCTTCCTCAATGGAGCAACCTCGTAGAAAGACCATGGCAGCACTCACTGGACGCTTTGCTGATGCAGCCACCTCGTTGACACACCATGGCAGGACTCGCTGGACACTTCCTCATTGCAGCCACCTCGTAGACAGACCATGGCAGGACTCGCTGGCACTAAGGATTGATCGAAGTAGCTGAATTGTAGATGTGGCCCCTTTCTCCTTGCAGTTGTCAGTGGGAGCTCTATCGAGAATAACCATAATCGAGTTCTGTTAACAAAAAGAAAAACGGGTTAATGACTTTTCATACAATATCAGCATTCTGCACGGGTTAATAACTTTTCTACATATTTCTGTTAACAGAAATAAAAAATGGATTAATGAATTTTCCTCTATATGTCAGCATTTTGCATTCAGGCTTACCTTTAAAGGTTTTCTGTTAACAGAAAAAAAAATGACTTTTCCTATCTATGTCAGCACTCTGCAGTCATTCTTACCTTAATGGGTTTTCCATCTCAGTGAAACACCATATGCCTTGGACGCTTCCCCATTGCAGCCATCTTGTAGACAGACCATGGCAGGACTAGCTGGACGCTTCCCAAATGCAGCCACCTCGTAGAGACAGACCTGGCAGGACTCGCTGGCACCAAGGATTGACCGACGTGTAGATGTGGCCCTCTTCTCCTTGCAGTTGTCAGTGGGAGCTCTATCGAGAATCGACATAATGGACCTCCGGTAAAAGAAAGAAATACGGATTAATAACTTTGCCTACCTATGTCAGCACTCTGCTTCCTGGACCTGTAATAGAAGAAACCTGGAATGCATGGAAATAAATGCAATAACACTACAAAAATAAAGCCCACAACAGCAGAAAGCCGATGACGTATCCTGCGAAGATTCCTGAGCGACGATTCCTCGTGGAGAGAAGCGAAGGTTTTAGCTGGCCAGCTTAGAAAAACGTCGAATCCACCGTCTAGACGACTCCGGTGAGCGATGCGTTGACTTGGGATGAGGAAAAGATTCGGAGAAACGTGAGTCCTGTGTCCTTATTGCTTGATACGGGGCGCAGTACATGGCATCCTTCTTGTTGCTCCAGATCTGTCTGCGTTGAATGAACGAAATTCCGAAATTCTGCGCTTTTATACCTTTAGTTGGTATATAGTCACAATGTGGCGTTCCTGGTCAACTTGTTCATAGGGGGTGGTGTTTGATAGTGATGCGCAAAATTGATTATTATATCTTATTGACATATACATTTTATTTACTATTTTTTATTTTGATTATTCTGTTTATCATTTTATTTTAAGATAAGAGTAATAAGTACTAAGCAGTGACTTCGAAATGTACAGGCATATTTGATGACAATTTCTGAGCAACATACCTTCTCCCCAAAATTATAATGGCCACGATGTCCGTTAAACCGGTACAGGTAGTCGTGAACTTCTCGCCGCCATTATAGTACGTGCGTATACAAACACTGATCCAAAATGTGGGTAATGTAATAGGGCGTAGGGTGACTGCATTTTCGAGGCAGCCTGAGGGAGCATGATTGTTTTGGTTGCAGTGAATTGTAGTGAGCCAATTGAAAATACACTGGACTTCGTGCCTACAGCCACCTCAGTACTCTGAAACACATTTTTTTATCAACTGAGTATTTATTCTGAGACATGAAAAACAAGTTATTGTTATTTTACGAAACGAAAGAAAGCAGCACTAGGTCAAATGAAAAAATCTTGATTTACTTATACTAGGCAGTAGAAACAAATGAATAATTTTTGCATATAAAAGGTCTACTGGTATAGGTAATAATTATAAGCGGGCACCTCTCTTCAAGGCTTTGGGTTATCAATACTCTGATGCCAGTAGCATGAGTGGAGAAAAAAACAAAAATAAAAATAAATAAGACATTAAGATAAAAATTAAATATTTCTGATTTATACGTTTACTTTATCCCCTTAATACTCAATTGAAAACTGCAATAATACACATTTTAATATTGTTATAAGTCTGAGTGGTCACTGGCATCCTTTCACATCTCCCTGACGACCACACAACCTAAGTTGTCGAACATTGAGCTTACATGTTAATAAGTCAATTGTTTACTATCAATGTTTTTATGGCCAGGCACACAAGAACTCCATTTGTGTGTGTGTGTGTGTTTTTTAATGACGTTGTCTTTGACTCGACCCAGCTTGAAAATCGGACTCGAGCCTTGCTTCGCCTGCCACGCGTACACTCACTGTTTCTCCTTATATAGATCCGTTTGATATTTTTGAAAAATCGTTAAGAATTATCGAGAAAAAAGTTCGTTCAAGTGAATAGATGTACTGCGATACTCGAGCGTTCATTTTCGTAGATATCCCATATAAATAAATAAGTAATAAAAGTATCTCTGCAATTACAGTAATAAGAGATAACAGACAGTTATAGCTGTTTATATTTTACAAGGTTTGTTGAGAAATTGAGGAAATGTTAACAATGGAGAGTATTAATGTTATGGATATTGGACATGAGGAGTGCATGTCAATTACCCGGAGTTTCTGAGACAACGAGAAACTTTTATTCTGTAAGTTTAAGTAACACTCCGAGAATCGCAGGTCAGTCAAAACCCTTCCATTATCAGGATGCCTGTGCGGTTTTTAACTTTTTTCCCATACTTTCCCAAATTTCGACGTTAACTGGACATGTAGCCATTATTTCTGTCTGAGGACCTCACTGTGGCTGTGTGTGTGTGCGTGTGTGTGTGTGTGTGTGTGTGCATGCGTGTATCATAACTATATTAAAAGTCAAAACTATTTTACTGAGATTCCTGTCTTACCTATCTCCTCAATACT